GCTGCCTTCCTTTAAGGCAGAGAAAGAAACTCAGGACCAAGCAAGTAGATGGGCAAATGTGCATCCCGGGCCAGAAGCAGAACAGCAGGCCTGAAAAGGCCTATGGCTCTGGGGAGAGGCGCGTCCCCCTAAGCACCGAAGCATCTCAGCCAAAGCTGTAAGCCGCCAGCTGTCTGCTGTGACCCTACTTCCTGGTTTCTCCACTTGTCTTCCAGGAATGCACATTCCTGGGGTTCCTGCAAAGAAGAGAAGGATGGCCTCATCTGCATGGGAAGTGCTACAGTACACGAAGTTCAAGAGGCATATTTATTACAGAGCTTCTCAGAGATCCCAGTGGGCGTCCCTGAATCTCCCAGGTTGAAAGCAAGTTGCAGCATTTCCCACACCAGTTGTCCATTGAACCGCATTTGCTCAGGGAAACTTGTGGTGTGATCCCGTAGAACTCCTTTGCAGAAATTAGGGTGTAATACTTTGCTTCTCAAAGGGAAGTCCCAAAGCCCAGGAGCATCAGCCTGGTAGTTCATTAGAAATGCAGAACCTTGAGCCCCACCCGAGACATGCTGACTCAGACTCTGAATTGTAACAAGATCTCTGAGGATCTATACATACATTTCAGCCTGATACACCTGCTTCTGTGTGTTTCACTACCTATGAAGGAAGACAGGGCTCAGAGGAAGGGGTACTGAGATGGCTGCTGAGATGAAGAGATGCATGTAGGACTGTTGTAAGAGGGAACGGCTCGGGATTATAGTTCTACTACCACATGTCAAGGTCTTCTACTTGCCCAGACTTGGAAGCACCATGGCAGAAGGGGCTGGACAGAACCAGGCCAGACTCCTACCACCACAGACAGTGTGGCCTTGGGCAAGCCACTCAATCTCCCAGAGCCTCAGCTGCCCATCTATAAATGAGGGATGAAGAATCCCTCCCACCACAGGGCTGCTCTGGACCAGAAACATGATATTTAAACCCTAGGCACTTTGCAATCGGCCCATCAGTGATACACAGAGGGACTTAAATAGTTAAGGAATTAAGTGGTATCAAATCAGGACATTCACACACCAAAAAGAAAGAAGGAAAAGGAAAAAACTAATGATGCTGCCCCACTGTCTCAACGCCATTTTCACTGACCACATTCACGGCCACGCTGGCAGACTCCAGCCCCTCTTTCAGCTCCAGCCTTCTCTCCAGCTGTGTCTTGCACTTCTGCTGGTGTGTGTCCAGTACATGTGACATCTCACTGCACCTGTTCTGACCAAGCCAATGCACACCTGGTACTTCTCTGCATATGCTCTTCCCTCTGGGCCTTTGCCCCCTGGCAACTCATACTCAAAGAGCCCCCAGGAGCATGCTTTCCAAGCCCTGACCAGAGTGGACTCCAGACTATTAGCTGAGCATGGTGCCCCGGGGGGCGGGAGGGTAGACACCAGGCCAGCTACATCTCTGACCAGCACAGCAGACAACCGCGCTTAGAGGTACTAGCTGAAAACACAAATTATGGCATGAACAGATGAATGAATGATATGTGAACAAAGCCTCTCTGAAATGCTTTCCATCAAGAATTACTCAGCACACAGGAATTGCTCAACAAGAGACTAAGGAAATGCCACCCACTCCAGTATTCTTGCCGTGGAAATCCCATGGACAGAGGAGCCTGGCAGGCTACAGTCTATGGGGTCACAAAGAGCCAGACACGACTGAGCAACTAACAACAGACCACTTCCATGTCAACTCCCCCAGCCCAGCTCAGGCCACCACCACCCCCATTCCAAGCCCCCAACACCAATTTCCTTTTATTTAGGAAATTCACCTCCAGCGTAAAATAAGACACACTTATGAAGTCTGGGACATCCTCAGAGGCAACTAAGATATAAAGGGCTGCACCATGTTAACCCAGCTATTCCAAGGACATTCACAGTTGTTGGCAATACGTCTGAGTTCTAACTAAATCCAGCCAAAGGCAGTGATTTTCCGAAGCAACAAGTGACATTTCCTGTGTGTCCATAAAAAGAACACCACCGGTTGTGGGGTTCTGTGTAATTGCTGGCTCTGCAACTTGCAGGGCAAGCCTGAGGACGGGGGACTTGGGGGCCACCAGGGCTGGGAGAGAGGCCACTTGCTCCAAGCAGGAGTCCCCTGAGTAGTAATTAGAGCAGAAACCACGGTGGGCAGCTTCAGATGTCTGGCCAGCACAGCCAGCCTGACCACCACACAGCCAATCCAAAATAGAAAACTGCAGTGGCTTCTGCCACGTGCCAGGCCCCGGGGTGGCCAGACAGAGCACTGCCAATGTCAGCCTCCTCCCTGAGCATTGATCCAGGCTTCCTCCAAGGCTCTCTTATGCAAAGCCATGGTCCCTCCAGGCTCCTGGAAGCAGGAGAATTTCCCAGAGCTCTGGCCACACTGAGCAGCCCAGCCAGTCCCAGAAGGGCCCACTCCCCAGCCTCTCCTGTCCTTCAGGGCCTGCCCGAGGGCACCAGAGACTGCATTTCCAAATGCTCCGCTCAGCTCAAAATAGAGAAAACTAACTTTTCAAATAACCAGCTCAAATCCAACAGGAAACCACAGCATGAAATATCAGCCAGGGGGCAGAGGGATAACTGGGCATTTCAGCACCACTGCGTGTTCGCTGGGCTGGCACCACCTGCACACACAGAAACAAGAAAACCACCGACCTGCATATGTGTCCCCACACACATATCACACGTGCTACAATGCACAGCAACACACTGAACAGACACTGACATACAAATGAGCAAAACCCTACAAACAGGCACAAGTCACAATGATAGTCACATGTTCACACAAGTGCACATGTACTTAGATACTAGCACCCATGCCAAAACACGTGTGCAGATGCATGCACTCACTGAGATATACACACACCTGAATGCAAAAGGAAAACCAGTTCCTGTAGGCTTAAGGGGGACCACACCTGGCTACTTGCTAAATACTTTGGAAACGTGGCCCTCCCCCTGCATAAATCACCCTCCCGGTCCAGTCAAAACAACTTGCCTTCCAGCCAACCCCTTCGGCGGTCCCTAAGCACAAGATGTGCAGAGAAGGTCCTCAGTACAGGCCTTGCCCTCCCAGCGGACCCCCAGATAACCGGCTTCCAAAGCCCACGTGAGAGCAGTGGACAGACAGAAGGGAGAGAAGCGTACTCACCAGCCCGTCGCAGTTGCTGAGCGCCACGGAGGAGGCTTCAGCCAGGCCCGCGACGTCTCCGACGTAGAGGCAGGTCCCAAGCAGGGGCTCCACGCGGGTGGCACCCGATTCTCCCTGCCACTCCACCGTCGCCCCGGGCGCCACGAGGCGGGCATTGGGCCGCAGCCGCAGGTGCAGGTCTCGGCCAAAGACGGTAACATTGTAGAAGAGGCGGCCACCGGGGTCCTCCTCGCTGCCTCCAGAGAGCCCCGGGATCTGGGCAGGGGCGGCCCTGCGGGTCCGTACTCCAGACGGGGCCGTCGCCCCCGACACCACGTGGGACACCAGGCGGCCCTGGGCGTCAGTGCGCACCGGCACCGCCAGGATGCGCTCGGCCCCATGCCCCTGGGGCCCGCCTGCAAAGGGAAGGGGCGTCAGACCAGCCGAGACCAAGGAGCCCCAGGGCCCCGCCACGGAGCACAGCAACCTCCCAAACCCCGCCCCACTGCGAAGGGAAGGGCGTTCCACTGGGCACCCCCAGAAACTAGCCTGCACCTCCCCGGCCTGCTTCCAACCGGGAAGGGGCGTTAACGGATCTACCACGCTGGCTCCCCTCCGACCTCCGGGCGACCCCTCTGGGACCCTCCCAACCAAGAGCTCTGCCCCCTGCCCCGTTCCAAGTTGGGGTTCCTCAGCTCCTCGCAGTTCCCCAGGGGCGGGCCGGGTCAGACCGTCCCCCGCCCCTTGAACCTACCGTCCTTGGCAGGACATGGGGCTGCTCTGAAGCCATTCCCGGTCGGTTCCCTACCCGAGCGCTTCTCCCTCTTAGCAGTCCCCGCCGCGCGACTGCCCTCACCGCTCCCCCCGGCACTGGCGGCCTGTGCTCCGCGTACAGCTCCAGGTTAGCCGGTTGCCGGCCGCCTCCCCCGCGTGCCCGACAACAGGGAGGGGTGGAGCAGGGTCCCTCAGATCTTCGAGGATCCCCTCCGGGGCGTCCCAAGCAATCCTCAAGGCCCAAGGCGACGCGCTCTGCACCCGACTGCTCCCGAGCGTCTCCGGACACGAGCCGGGGCTCCGCCTCGCCCTGGCTCCCCCGGACCCGCTGGTGCTGATGCTGCGCTCGCCGCCGCCGGGCTTTCCCGGCCCTCTGTCTCCACGCTCGGCGTCCCGAGAGCCGCGAGCGCTCCGGGGCTCCCCCCGGCCCGATATTCCCGGGTGCGCCGCAGGGCGCCCCCTGCCCGACCAACCCGGCCCCGAAGTTGGCCAACTTGGCCCCGGGCGGGGCGCGCGGAGTTTGCCCAAGTCGAGCCGGACGCCGCCTGGGGAGGGGGCGGTGGGGCGCGCGGGGCGGAGCCCTGCCGACAGGGGTCGCGAGGCGTGGGGACTCGGCCGCACCTACCTGGGGGGTCGGCGGCGGCGGCGGCGAGCCGGGCGTCCGCGAGCAGCGGCAGCAGCAGGAGCAGCAACAGCGCGGGGCAGAGCAGGCGGCCGGCGGCTCCCGCCGGCGGATCCATGGCAGCCGGACCACAGCCGGGGCCCCGCACTCGCAGCCGGCGCGAAAGTTCCCCGCGCGCCGCCCAGCCCACATCTGGGGCAGCTGGAGCCGCCCGCAGCTGCAGCACCGCAGGGCGCGGGGCGGAGGAGGCGAGGCGCGGAGGGGAGGGCGGGGGAGCGCGGAGGGGAGGCGGGGAGAGGGAAGGAGCGAGAGCGAGGGAGGCGGGAGGGAGGAGAAGGCGAGCGAGGAGGAGGGCGGGGACGGCGGGCGCCTCAGCCTGCGGTGACCCGGCGCTTCTTGGCGCGGCAGCCGCCGCCGCCGCCGCCGCCGCCGCCGCCGCCGCCGCCCGCTCCCCTCCTCACGCCGTCGCCGCCACGGTTCCCGGCTCGTAGCGAAGCAGAGACACCCCGAGGCGGCGGCAGAGAAGCGCCGCGGGCCGGGTCGGGGGAGCCCCGCGGCCGGCCACCTTCGGCGCGCCCAACGCACTCGTGGCGCGCCACCCCGGAGGAGCAAGTTCCCCGCCGAACGAGGACTCGGGGCCCCCGGGTCCTAGCCGTCGGTCTCGGGGCGCAAGAGGTGGCTGCTCTCTGCGCGCCCGCGGGTGGGCGGAGAGGCCTGATTACCGTGGGGCTGAGCCAGGCCTTTTGACCAGATGGAGACCCCAGGAACTGGAATAGTTTTCCAGGAGGCGGTGTGCACCACAGGGCCTCCCCAAAGGTCAACTTTTACCCTTCCAGAGAGAGGCAAGGTTCCCTCAGTCCCCAGTTCCTCTTTGCCTTAAGGTCCCCCCCACACACCCTGTCCTCTCTCTCCCCAACCCTCCACTGCAGCCTTCGAGCACAAGTCTCCTCCACGTAGACCTGGGCTCTGCCTGCTAGAACTCACAGGTTGCCTCCCTCACCTGTCCTGAATCCTACATGGGATTCTCGCAGTATGGTCTTTGCACTCACCCAGGCTCTGCCTGAAATAGCCTCTCTACACTCTGCCCATGGTTTCCAACTCAGCATCCAAGGCGTCCCTCTGCAGCCTGGAGCCAGTTTGCTGTCAAAGCCCATCCCCAGTTGGACTCGCTCCTCATCCTTCTGCTGCCTGGAGTCACCGTCGTACCATGTCTACTCTCCCCTGGCACAAGGACCTCTCCCCCGGGTCCCGCCCAGGAACCCACTTCCAAACATGTGTCTATGGGAACACCTCTGCTTTGGGACCCCTGCCTCGAGTCCCTGAAGGGTAGACACCTGTCTCTTTGGAGTTTCTTATTCACCCTGCCCCCAGCCTGAGTGGCCAGGGCTTTGGGGTTGGCTTGGCCAAGCAGGGCCTGATGACTCAGATCCCTCCCTGCCCACCAGAAGGGCCCAGTCTTATGGGGAAAACACATGACTTAGGCAACTTGCTTTAGCTGTGGTTTCATATCCTTAGTTCCATCACTTCCAGGATCTGAGTGGGCACAGCAGCTTGACAGTCATCTTCACATGGAAGCTTCTCTCTGTCACCTGAGGGTGCCCAACACAGCATGCAGCCCCCAGGTATGGTGAACATTTGTTGTCAGTGTTTAAAACGGTGACATTTCACCTAAAAATTTAAACGTTTGACTTCTCTTGAGAAATTGGAAAGTGTAACCACACTGGGTCTGCATTTCTACTTATCAGCTATAAATGAAGCGAATGCTCTGCAGTTTGCTGTAGGTGTCCTTCCCTTACCCCCAACAGTCGTCCACTCTTGTGATGCTTCCAGAGAAAGTGGATGGAGATCAGCGTATGAGGAAAGAGCCAGGTATCCTGGAGGACTTCTTGTAAGAAGTGGCATGGGTCAAATCCTGAAGGCTGAGGAAGCCAAGCAGCCCAGAGTTTGGCTCAGCTGTCCTGGAACCCATGACTCTCTTCCACTCACTTCCCATGTGGTTTTTGTGCTTTCATCCTCCTGAAAAGACGAATGAGGCCCAAGCAGCAGCATCACCTACCTGATGAGGGTGACGTTCTATCACCTCACTCACTTCCCTGCCAGGTTTATGGTCATTACCGTAATCCACGACCACCACCACCACCAATATTTCTCTATATTGTACTTAATCCTGGACTTGAGTTTTAAAGGATACTTTAAATCACTACTGTACATGGGAAAGCCAAAATCTTGCCATAAGTCAAAGATAACTGCCAAGAATTAATGTATGAAACAAAGAGCTGTTATCAAATTCTAAATACTATTGCCTACAAAAGGCATTGAGGCTGAGGATGATTAACAAGTGTTGAAAAAGTGGTAAGACAGACTAGCAGAAGCAAAGCCCTTTCCTTTGATGCGATCAGAAGAATGAAAGGAGAATTGAAAAGGAACGACTCTCACCTTGCAAGTTGATATTTTCTAACGGGTCCACATAGCTAAATTATCTTGCACTCTTTGGAAAATCAGCTCTAGAATATCTTTTTGGCAAGCAGCTTTGTCTCTCTGACACTCCTGAGTCACTCCTTGGCAACTATTCCTTCCCACACCACCCCAAGCCTCTTGGGGCTCCACCCTGACAGACTCCTTGAAGGCAGACCACTTACCCTTAAGCAAGCCCTCCTTTAGTCCCCACAATGACGCCTCTCTAGGCTGAGTGGAAGACCCAAGCACAGATGCATCAGAACTCATGGTTGAATCCTTGAGCTCTCGTGCACTCATCCCAGCTTCCTGATCACTTGTCCCCAGCTCAGAAAAAAAGAGTCACCCCTACTTCTGCAAACCTCCGTGGCTCAGGTCTTTCCTCTTCTGGAAAATGCTGCCACAATTGAGGTAGTGCCTCTCCTTCTGTTCCCCTCTTCTCCTCCGGGTGAAAGTGGAACAGAGGAATGCACAGTGGTTCTTCGTTGAAGTCTGCTTGTACAGTCTAGATCCAGTCCCGTTAGAGCTCTTACTAAGTGCATGTCCTGTGTGTTTGATGTCAGCTGAACTTGAGCGTCCTTCAGTCTGGCTTGCCCCCCGCCTTTCACCATCCCCACCACTCCCTGCTGTCCTATGCCTGCTTTGTGCTCACAGTTGTGTCCAGTCTGATCCCTGAAGAACTGAAACTGCACCCCTGATCTAGAACAGCCCCATGTTGCGGACAAAGGGTGAGAACAGGTCAGAGTGAGCTCAAGCCCTCCAATCCCTTTAAAATCCTCACAACAGCATGAGGTACAGAAAGAAATGGGGACTTTTTCTGGTCATTTGGGGCATCACAAATCACAGTGCCTGCCTTGGAGTAGGGACATTAAGCAAGGAACTTCTTGCCCTGTGCCTGCCCCAGCTCTCTGGTGGGAGCAGTGGCCCCTTGTCCTGAAGAAGAGAAGCAAGGCTCTCAGCCCACCTCTGACTTCCGGGTCACGTGCACCGGGACAGATTTCATCAGAGCCGTTTCTGTCCCCTGGCGGCCACACAGAAGCCAGAAGTGCTTCTGCCCTTTGCCGAGGTCACCATCCTTGGCAGGCCATGCCCGCACTGCAGGCTGCAAGCAGATGGAAGTAGTGAGAGCTCCTTCTCCTGCGTCCCGACAGGCAAGATCCCAGAGGTTGTGGGGCAAGATCTAGACTCTTCTAGCCCTCCGAGGACCCGTATGCTGAGCATAACAAGTCTTAAGGACTTGGTGACCTTGTCAAAGGGCCTCTGAAGACAGCAGTTCTACCCCCCTCTGCTATTGGCAAACCGCGGGTGCAATGGCCCCGTCAGACGCACAGGCAGAGTGCTGGCTGGGAGCAGCCTTGGTAAGCAATATGTCAGGGGAATGCTAATTAAACAGAACATGCCAGCCAGGTGGCCTTTAGGGGTGTGGTTCTTACAGTTTCTTGAGCATCCCCCCCAACACATACACTGACAGGGATCTGTGTCAGGCAAAAGAGGAAATGTAGGTGGTGTCCAGGTAACATTTTTTTTCATTGCCATGTTCTACACAGAGGAGTCCCACCTCCATTGCAGCCAGTTCTGCCTAGAAGTGAAAAGCAAAGTGCTTAAAGTTTGGAGGCTTAAGGATCTAGGTTCAGTCAATACTCTGACATTGGACACACAAGCTGGAGGCGTGGGCTCAATCTATGCAATAAAGACCCGGGGAAGGAGAAAGCTCAGTGCCCACCTCTGACTATCCATGTGTGCTCCAGTTAGCAGAGAGGCAGCAAGTCCCAAGACTTTTCAAGGTAATGCTGGGTATGGCGAGTAGTGATGTTTTGGGTCTCCCGGGTCCCCTGGGTCTAGACCTGTGTCTGGCCCCTCACACAGGTCAAGAGGGGACATTTGTTCCAAGCTTCTCATCTGAGAAATGCCTCTGGGTCCCTTAAGATGCCCCCGGACACAAGTTTCATAACCCACTTAGACCATAAGGAAATGCAGGAGGTCTGCAGGTGTGACAGCTCCAGAGCTCGACCAGGTAGCATGATGACCGAACCACATGCAGGGGTCCTCATCTCTCCCAGGTGGACCAGCTGACTCCCCTCTGAACTGTGGGCTCCAGACTGGGTCATACGTCCACTGCTGAGCCAGCTGCTGACAAGGGGCAGTGGTATTACTGGGACAAGCCTGGATTAACCACCTGGGGCAGAAACATGTTAAGGGTTGGCCGCAATGTCCCCCCAGCACTTTGCTTGCCTTTATGTTCAAATGAGTACATGGCACAGTCCCAGGCTTTCCCTTGTATGGTGAAAGAAGATGTTCTTCCCTGGAATTCACCATTCCCAGATGACATCCTCTCAGAGACTGGATAATTAATTTCTTTACATATAAATCCTGTATGTAACTGAAGGGTACAATCCAATTACATTGTAGCATTTTGTGTTCAAATGCTTTGTAAATGCCACTGGACATTTCTTCCAAGGACAATCCAGGGAATGTCAGCAGGTGGCCCTGGCCGATGCCCTGGCGAACCCGGGATCCCTAGCCTTCGGACCTTGTTCTCTTCCGATTGCCTTCCCTTCATGTCACCTTCCTTCCAGTCCTAGGATGTGGGCCTTGAAGAGGCCAAAGCTTCTGGCTGGGTCTGGCAGTGGCACTAACCATGGAATCCCAAGGCTGAGACTCAGTGAGAAGACGTTCTGGACACAGGGTTGAGGGCCTTTGGCCGTCACTGCAGCCCCTGGGGACTCCCTGGAGACCCTCCACTTCTCCAGGGTGTCAGAGGCTTGTTCCCCACCAAACTCCCCATCACTAGTAGGATGGGTGTTTCTTGACTGTCTCCCTCCCAGCAGCTGCAGATGGTTCCTCCTCTGCAGAAATGCTGAGACTCGACACAAAGTCCAATCCAGCGTGGAGTTTATGGAGGGACAGTCACCTCTGCCCCCTGCAAAACAGTGGCCCCATCTTCTGCTCATTCCAAAAAAGAGGTAGACCTGTGTCTTTAGTGCAATGTTTTGAAGTTTTTGTTTTGGGTAAAATAAATAGCCCCTTGCAGGCTCTGCAAATCTGGCTCCAGGCAGCACCTCACCCTTCACATGTCCCCATAGCCTCTGGCCACTCCCCAGGGCCAGTCCCATTGTATGCCATTTTGTCTCCATACACAGGACTCCTCCTCAGCTATGTCCTCAGCCTTCCTCAAGTGTTCAAGGGTCTATGCACAGACCACCCCAACAGGTCCATCCACCCTGTAAATATGGCAGCCCCAGGCATCTCCTTCAGCGTGTCCCAGAGACTCAGCTTCTCACAGCCCCCATCTCCACCCGCCCCAGCCTCCTGGGCTCAAACCTGGCACCTCTTCTTCCACCTGGGCACCAGGGGCATCTGAGCTCCATCTCTTTCCTTTTGTTGTTCAGTTGCTCAGTTGTGTCAGGCTCTTTGCAACCCATGGACTGCAGCAAGCCAGGGTTCCCTGTCCTTCCCTATCTCCCTGAATTTGCTAACATTGATATCCATTGAGTTGGTGATGCCATCCAACAGTCTCATCCTCTGTTGCCCCCTTCTCCTCCTGCCCTCAATCTTTCCCAGTATCAGGGTCTTTTCCAACGAGTTGGCTCTTTGCATCAGCTGGCCAAAGTATTGGAGCTTCAGCTTAGGCATCAGCCCTTCCAATGAATGTTTAGGGTTGATTTCCTTTAGGATTGACTTGTTTCATCTTCTTCTTGTCCAAGGGACTCTCAAGAGTCTTCTCCAGCAGCACAGTTCAAAAGCACCAGTTCTTCAGTGCTCAGCTTTCTTTATGGTGCAACTCTCTAATCCGTACGTTACTACTGGAAAAACCATAGCTTTGATTATACGGAACTTTATCGGCAAAGTAATGAATGTCTCCACTTTTTAATATGCTATCTAGGTTTGTCATAGCTTTTCTTCCAAGCATCTTTTAATTCCATGGCTGCAGTCATTGTCTGCAGTGATTTTAGAGCCAAAAAAATAAAGTCTGTCACTGCTGGTTTTTGGTTTTGTTTTTGCTTTTGTTTTTTTTGCCATGAAGTGATGGGACCAGATGCCGTGATCTTAGTTTATTGAATGTTGAAAATTTAAGCCACCTTTTTCACTCTCTTCTTTCACTTTTATCAAGAGGCTCTTTAGTTCCTCTTCATTTTCTGCAATTAGGGTGATCTTATCTGTATACTTGAGATTATTGATATCTCTCCCTGCAATCTTGATTCCAGCTTGAGCTTCATCCATGCTGACTTTTTGCATGATGTGCTTTTCAAATAAGTTAAATAAGCAGGGTGACAATATACAGCCTTGACATATCCTTTCCTAATTTTGAACCAGCCCATTGTTCCATGTCCAGTTCTAACTGTTACTTGTTGACCTGTGTACAGGTTTCTCAGGAGACAGGTAATGGGGTCTGGTATTCCCATCCCTTGAAGAATTTTCCACAGGTTGTTGTGACCATACAGTCAAAGGCTTTAGCATAGTCAACAAAGCAGAAGCAGATGTTTTTCTGGAATTCCTTTGCTTTTCTCTCTCCTTACCCCTACAGCAAAGCAGTCAGCTCTGCATCTCCCTCTCATTAGGAGGAGGAACTTACCTCTCTTCCCTGCTACTCCATCAAGGCCAGGCCTAGCCCCCTGTCTCAGACATGGCGTACCCTCACCATCACCTCAGTTGGGCAGTGGATGCCTGAAACTGAACCACTGACTCTTGTGACTTTCTCCCCCGAAAGTCAGTGAGGCACCTCTGACAACTTGCACACTGTGATCACACGTGCTGCCCAGTCTCTCCACTGCCCATTTCCTCATCTGCAAGGCCGGGGCCCCAGGGTCAGGAAGAGCTGGGGGCCTGGCTCATGCTCATTTTCAAAGCAGAATGAGTGTGAGATTCCCCAACACACACTGGAAGCTGAAATCACATGTCAGATGGCTTAATGAGAGCGTTCCCTCCCCACGCTGACAGTGTTGCCATCCTGGGCAGCAGAAGCCTTGCTTGCTGAGGGCTGCTGAGAGGGGAATCACACGACGGCTCCCCAGCACACACAATCTCTACTGCCCCAAGCAGCCCAGAGACAGGCCCAGACAGAGGTCTGTCAGTCAGTCGCTTTCCAGTCATGTGACCTTGAGAAACTTTCTTAGCTTCCGCATGCCTCAGTTGCTGAAACTCTATGATGGGCAGAGTATATCACGAACGTCACAGAGTGGCTTGGAGAATTAGGTGGTTTAACACATCTGAAGCTGCCCACACCTCAGCTGCTTTTGCTCTCCATCACGCTCTGTACCCAACTGTACATAGTTTAGCGTTGGCCTATAGATGCAAAACTGTATTCATTGGAAATTTTCCAGAGTATTTTCACTGCGTGCTTTTTTCATATCATCACTGACCTTAGAACTAAACCCTGGCTGTACTGCAGGAGATGGGTGGCTGACGTGCCAGGGCTGAATGTGGCCTAATGAGGAACCTTGCTGAAGAACTGCGAGGAACACCGTGATTGACAAAACAGGGACTGGAGCGTAGTGGGCACTCAGTAAATATTTGCGGGGTGAATTTTCAAAAATAAGATAAATTTCAAAGATAGATGCTAGGAAGAAAATAAACAGAGGCTCATGATACAGAACACAGGGGAGAAAGGCGAGGAAGAAGGGGGCAGTTAAACGCTGGTCAGAGAGAAGTTACCAGTCTAAGTGTTGGGGAAAACAAAGTGTTAGTCGCTCAGCTGTGTGCGACTCTCTGTGACCCCACTGACTGAAGCCCACCAGACTCCTCTGTCCATAGAATTCTCCAAGAACACTAGAGTGGGTAGCCATCCCTTCTCTGGAGATCTCCTGACCCAGGGATCGAACCCTGCATTGCAGGCGAATTCTTTACCATCTGAGCCACCAGGAATCCTAGTGGGCAATCTAAGCAAGGAGTATCTCAAACAGATAGACCAGCACGTGCAAAGGCCCTGAGCGGAAAAGAGATTTTACTGCTCCAGGGAAAGAAGAGCAGTGAAGCCAGAGGGTGCTTAAAGAAGAAAGAGATGAAGCAAGAGAGGCAACCAGGGGACCATCGATGAGGCAGGGCCTTGCAGGTCTCAGCTTGCAGGCTGCACTTTGTTCTAAATGGAAGATTTAAGTAGGAGAATGAAGCAAGCTCGTATTCGTCTCGAAAAAGCTCTGGGAGCTGGGAGCACTCACCAGGACACTGATCCAGAGCTTATTGACTCCCTTCTCAGGAGAAGGACCTCACACATCAGGGCTCCATGGTCATCCCCCTGTGTCCTGGTCAAGTACGACTGGCCAGCCTGAGGCCCACAGTTTCCTCTTCTCAATGAAGACGCTGGGGTCAGTGTGCCCTTGGGAAGCAACTCTTGTGGCAGGCTGTGTTTTGTCAATCACAGTATCTCCTGCAAGCTCGCAGCTCTGTTGGTGAATTAGCAGCTCTTAAGTTAAACTACCTCCCTTTATCCTCACAACATCCCTCCAGGTGGAAATACAACCTTACCACTTTTGGATGAAGAAGTTGAGTCTTAGAGATGATAACGCCCGGGGCCAGAGCCAGACCAGACCTCATGACTTGCTTCAGAACCAGAGCACTCATCACCCGCGAGGTGAACTGCTCTGGGTGCTCCTGTGAAGCCTTCTGGGATGTGAATCTGAGCATCCTACCAATCCCTACTTTTTGCCTAAAGCAGTGGAGTCAAGTATCATAACTGATGCATAAGGGGCTCCCAACTGGCAGCCCACAGGGTTTTGTTTGTTAACTCAAACTATTTGCTAAAACTTTTTAAAAATCAAAAGATGCCCCCATTAAAATATGCCCCTCTGGCTTCTTTTGGGGAAAAAAAAGCACATCTGACCACACTGGGCATACCAGGCCATATGGAGAGCTGAGCTGGGTCTGAGGGGTAGCGCAGCATTTAGATGCTTTTCTGACCTTCCTGGCCCCCAGCCGGCTGGCATCCTCCAGAGGCAGCAGGGCCTCCACCTGCCCCGCAGGGCCCACCACCGCCTCTTTGGATGGGGAAGCTAGGGCAAGCGCTTCTGCCTTCAGGTGGCCCCGGCCCGGCCTGTGAGGCATCTGCAGGCTATGGGGGCTGCTCTCCAGCACCCGCTGCCTTTGCATCCCCTTCTCTTTCCCAGGCTTCTCGGCTGTGCTCACTCAGGACTCCAGGAGGGCCTCTGGTTGCTGGAACTTTCCAGTATGCTCCTTCTTGTGGTCCCCACATGGCATCACTGGCCCCCTGCTACCCACTAAGAGATTATACTCCCTAGCTGATAATAATACACAGCCCCCAAGAGATGAATCTGAAAGCACAGGCTGCCCCTAGGAGCAGGGGTGGAGGGCACATGGGGTGCAGGGGTTGGGGAGTGCCAGGTCTGGGGATGACTGTTCCAGGAGATGGGAGGTGAGCGTGTTCATCTGCACCTGTGCGCACACATGCACGTGTGCACACATGCACACACACACACCATGCCACGTGCATGTGTGCACAAGTGAGCGCGGAGGCGCACGCTGACCCCAGCCCCCGAACAGCCACAGACCCAGACACCCAGACACTCGCTCCAGAGCCCACGCAGTGCCTTGGCCTCCCTAATTGCATTTCTGAAAATGGGAAAGAGGAGACAAAATGAGCCGGGCGGCACAGTTCCCCCATGGCGATTCCCATCTCTGCTCTGAGTGGCTGCAGCAGCCAGATTCTCAGCTGAGCCCCAGATGCCTTAGCAACCCTCCGCACTGCAACTAATCCCCAGCTGTGGCTGGCCTGTGGGCTCTGCTGTGTCATGGCCTGCCCTGGCCATGAAGGCCGTGAACAGGACGTGCCAGCTTACCTAGGGGTTGTGGTGACAGTGGGAGGCCCTGGCCTGCTTGCCCGGGCAGCCAAGTCCCCCGTCACAGCAGAGGATCCCAGATTTTCTCCACCATTATTGAGCCAAATTGCCCTGCCCCAATCTCTGGGTAAGTTCAGGCCCTGTACCAAGGGCTGGGCAGCAGGTCCCCAGAGGCTCTTCCCTCCCACCTTCCACGTGGGGTTGGGCCGCGGCGTTTGTCCTCCTCCTGGCCTGCTCAGGAGCCCCTCCTCCAGCGTACACCAGAACTCCCTGTCCCACACAGGCTCCCAGACAGAGCCCAGACAGAAGGTCACTGCTGGCCAGAATGTTATCTTCAATTGTGGAGCAGACAGATCACATTATCAGCCGTCTTGTTACACCTCAGGCTGCCTGAGACTCTTGGATCTTGTTAATAGCAGAGTAAAGCCTCCCCTCCGCTGGGTGTTGACAGTGGAGACTTTGGGCTCAGTTGGGTTCTCACTGACTCTAACCTGCGGAGCCGTGTCACAGGGCCTGAGGGCTCCAGGGATGACCCAGCTCTGGGCTGAGGGGCCAAGGCCCTACTCTCCTGCATCCTCTTGGGCCACGGGAGAGACCAGAGAATTGCAGAGCCAGGGTGCTGCTGGGCAAATAGAGACTCAGCTCTGGGAGCAGCAGACAGTGAGGGACCGTTTGGCCCCGGATCCATCTGAGGCTATCTGTCCACCAGGATTTCCCAACAGATGGCAGCAGAGACATGGACACATCCAAAAGTTGTCCTGTCACCAGAAACTGGGTCTCAGCTTTGCTGGACCTTGGCCTTGCCGGATCCCCAGCCTTGGCTGGCCTATGGGCTCTGCCATGTCCTGGCCTACCCCGGCCCCTGGCCTCGACCTGACCAGACCCCAAGAGTTGCCTCTAGCCCCTCGACAAACTCCCCTGGGCTGCAGACTCTGTGCTCCCCATGGAGCTCCAGCCTTGCCCCTCCCCTCTCAGAGAGTCTGAGGCGCCTGAGGAAATGCCTTCTGCAGAAGGCTTACTCCACCATGCAAGCTGTCACTCTGGAGAAAAAATAAAAGCCTCCCAGCTTCACTTATAACAAACTTGGTCTGTTGTGCAACTTTGCAGTACAGAATGTGCATGTGCCCAATCTCTTCTGTTGCATAATTTTCCAGCTGTTTTCAGGACTATTTCATTCTTCGTCTGGCATATTTCACAAGCCATATATAAAAATTAGATACATGTAAATATAAAGTTGAGCATATGTGTGCAATGAAACAGTAAGTGTGAAGTGAAGGAGAGGAGGTGGGGGACCAGGGCTGAGCAAAGGCAGATGAAACAAGTATAAACATTTTGAATGCTGCCTTCTAGAAGTCTGGGAGAGAAAATGAACTTGGACTCAATTTGAAGTGAGAAGTTCATCCAGTAAAATCAGTTTCAACCTGGTGGTGTTTGATTTCCCTATTCTTCATGAATTATTTCGGTTTGGTGTGGTTTCATTTGGTTCGGTTTGGTTTTTTAGAGCAATCCCTAAGAAGCCACCATTTTTGTAAAAGAAACGCTGTGGGCATCTTCTTGCCAAATATTCTTAAAACAGCATCATCTGAGATGCCTTGGAAAGGGCAGAAGGGCATCAAGATGACAGGCCCCCTCCATGGCCTGGTCATCCTGTGCACGACCGCCGGCAGAGATGGGCTCTGTACACCCTCCTGATGGAAACCCTCGGCTGCTGCAGGGCCCACTGGGTTCTGTGTCACACAGAAGGACCCTCTCCTTCCAGAGCAAGGACCTTCCCAGGATGGTGCCTCTGACGGGAAGCAGCTGAGCAGAGGGATCCCTGGGCCCGGCCGATCTGCACCCCAGACCACAAGCTGGAAGATTACAGGCAGAATTCTACTCACAGGAGTGTTCGGTTGGGACAGCAGTGACATTTTTAATTGAGTCAGAAACACACATAACAATTAGGAGATTAAGGATTTGAAATCTAGATTCTTGTCTTCTTTTGAAGAAAGACAACAAGAGTTGGACCCGTGGGCTTACAGCTCTACAGCTTGGCCAAAGCAGCTCTCCTGACAGGGCAGGTCTGGGGACAGCTGGGGCAGCTCATGTGTAAACCAGAATGCAGGGACAGCAGCTCTAATGGGAAGCTCATCTCCTGGAGGAGATCAGAGGCTTCTAAAAGGGTAAGCATGAGTACACGATGCCTCTAAGACCTGGGCTCCAAACTGACCCACAGTTTATCTCACCCCCCTACCATTGGCCACGTGAGACAAACGGACCAACCCTATGAATGGGGCAGATAACTCTGCATCCTGGAGAGACAAGCTGCAGAATCACAAGGCAAAGAACGTGGATACAGGACATGTAGTGGACTGAGCAGTGCTCCCCCGAAAAATGCCTGTCTGCCCAGAACCTCAGAAAGGGATCTTATTTGGAAATGGGGTCTTCGCAGAAGTGATTAGTTAAGATGAAGTCATACTGGATCAGAGTGCACCCCTAATCCAATGTGACTGATGTCCTTATAAGAAGGGAAGTGGAGACTCTCGGGGAGAACACCGTGTGACAGTTGGAGGCAGAAATTGGAGAGATGTGTCTACAGCTCAAGAAATGCCGGGCTTCTCTGGTGGCTCCGTAGTGAAGAATCTGCCTGCCAACGCAGGAGACGTGAGTTTGATCCCTGATCCAGGGGACCCCACATGTCACAGATCAACCAAGCACCACAACTACTGAACCTGTGCTCTAGAGCCCGGAAGCCACAACTGCTGAAGCCCATGCGCCCTGAAGCCTGTGCTCTGCAACAAGAGGAGCCACTGCAATGAGAAGCGCACTTCAGCTAGAAAGCAGCCCCTGTCCCCCGACAACTAAGGAGCCCACGCAGCCGCGGAGACTCGGTACAGCCAAAACAAATAAATAAACATATATTTTTTTAAAAAAGGCTCAGAAAATTCTCTTTAAAAAGAAAAAAGAAATAGCAAGGATCTCTGGCTAGGAGGAGCTAGGAGAGAGTCACAGAACAGATTCTCCCTTGCAGAAGGAACTAACCTCACCGACACCTTGATTTCAGATTTCTGGCCTCCAGTAAGTCTCCGTCACGTAAAGCCACCCAGTGTTGTGGTTATCTGTTATAGCAGTCCTGGAAACTACTGCAGGATGGGGAACGAACTGGGAACGACAGTAATATCTACCGCAAAGCGCCCTCTTGGACGCAGTTACCCTCCCACTTACAAAATACACTCATTCTCACTCAAAACACCCAGTCGCGGTGTCAAGCTTGAAGTTGAGAATCTTGTATTCTAAGTCAGATCTCAATGCAGCTCCCCTTGCTCCCAGGACCTAGAGAACAAAAGGAGAAGTTGTTTGCGCCCCCCCCCCCAACACCTCACACACAGGCCACGCTAGCCATGATGGAACAGGAACACGTCATGCAATAAACACCCCCACTCAAATGGGAGGAGGCGGGGTGGGATGAACGGGGAGACGGTGATTGATAAATACACAGTACTCCGTTTAAAGCGTGCAACAAGTGAGAACCCACCGTATAGCGCGGGGGACTCTGCTCCATGCTCTGCGAGGACCTCAGTGGGGAGAGAATCTGGAAAAGAGTGCACACACACAGGCGTGTCACTGGCTCACCTTGCTGGATGGTACACACTGACACGGCAGGATAAAGCAAGCTTACCCTGATTTAAAGAAAAGAAGGACAGGAGGCCCCAAGCAGTCACTGTGAGTAAAAGTGCTAGCTGCTCAGTCATGTCTGACTCTTTGCGACCCCATGGACTGTAGCCTGCCAGGCTCCTACGTCCACAGGATTTTCCAGGCAAGAATACTGGAGTGGGTATCATTTTCTTCTCCAAGGGATCTTCCCGATTCAGGGATCGAACTCGGGTCTCCTGCACTGCAGGTGACTTCTTTACCATCTGAGCTGCCAGGGAAGCCCCACTGGCCCACTAGACTACAACAATTCTTACATCCTGTTGGAGAAACATTGCCAGGAGCTTCTACCCTGGAGCAGGGGGTATTGTGGAATTAGGCTCCAAGTCTACTCCCTGTAGCTGTGGTTCTTGGCTTTACTCCTTACAATATGTTTCCTTCTCCATCATTCTCCTTGGTCACTTCTTTCTTATCACATCATTTTTCTTGGTCACTTCTTG